CGAAAGAGTTTCAGGTACGATTTGATTCAAGTTATATCTTCATTCAATGTAGTTAATAATCTGAATCTATGGGCCTTCACGTACTCTTTATGGAAATATTATTTTTCATTTTTGTAGAAGCATTTCGCATGGGAAGAGGCTATTACGGCTATGCTAAAAGTGGTCTGGGAAAAATTGTGTGATCTACGGTACATTGACTTCACTTATAGGATGCAAAAAAGCGGTAAAAAGCAGCAGTGCGTGTCTCAGGAGATATGGAAGAACTGGCAGAAGGCTTGGGAGGATCCTACATTCAAGAGAAAATATGAGATATTTGCATGAAACAGGCGTAGTGAGACTGGTGGTGTCGAAGCAGGACCTTCCCGACACACAGGCAGATCAATATCTACTATAGAGACATCTCAATTATTGGTGAGTTAATTAGTTACAGTTACAAAACTGATGTTTAATGAAATGACACCATATTAACAGTTACAAAACTGATGTTTAATGAAATGACACCATATTAATATATCATGCATAAAAATTCATTACAGGCTAAAAAATATGGTCATGAGCCCACACCAATGGAGGTGTTTACTTACACTCACACAAAGGACCACGATGAAAATACGTTTGTTGACAGATATGCGTTGGGCGTCAATGTAAGTAATAATGAAGAATTTTTACATTTACTTTCTAGTCTTCTCTTATGCGTATAAGTTTAATATAATAAAGCTTGCAACTGCAATGATTAATTAATTTGTTGTTTTTAGGAGAACTACAGTACAGCTCGCAAGCGTGTTATTTCTTCTCAGGCTGGATCTAAAGTTGAGCCCAAAATTGATGAGTTAGCACTTTATCTAGAGGCCATAGGGACGAAAAAAAGAGAAACGTATATGCAATTGGGTCTCAGGCATCACAGTTTTACTGCGACTCAGGGTCTGACTCTCCTACAGCCTCCTCAGGACCACAGCCCGACCATAGTGCTGAGGAGACTCGTGCATTACGAGCTCATGTTGATGCGCAGGAGAGACAACTTGCAGAGCTTAGAGCACATGTGATGCGGATGTTCGGTCAGCATGGTGCTGGTACGTCTTCCTCTGATCCTCCACCTATCGATCGACATGTTTCTACAGCTCTGCATCAACCACTATCGTCTCCTCTTGATCCCGATACTGCAGACGATACTTTGGTCACTCCTGCTGACACTACGACATATCTAGCAGATACTACGGCCCATCCAATAGACACTACACTGGATCGTGCAGAGGACCAACATCATAGATTTGACTTTAGACCTTTTTAGCATTTTGTGATTTTTCCATATTTTGTATAGTACATTACATTTACAATTCCATTCTTAAATTGTTATTCTATTCTGATGTTGATGATGATGCTTGTGATTGTGGTATATATATATATATATATATTTTTTTTTTACAGATTCCAATTCTTTTAAATTGTTATTGCTATCTGATGTTGAGATGATGCTTGTGATTGTGGTGAGTGAGGCTAATAGGTAATAGTCTCTAACCGTATTTTTTTTTTTTTTTTTTTTGGGAAGCAGTGGAAAAAATTATGGTTTTTACTATATTATTTTTTTTGCCTATAATTAAATATTTTGCAAGCGACTGGGCGGTCGAAACTGACCAAAATTTATACGATTATATATTTAAATTTGCCGACGAGTGTCCGAGCTTCAAGTGAGTGTATTTCAGAATTTCGCACGAGATTACATTAGTCACTCAGGAGTAAATATGTGCTCTCGCAATCGGAGAGTGTGTGTGTATAAGAAGAGAGCGAGGCGCAAGCTTTCAGGCAAGGATTTTTGACAGGTGGAAAAAATTATGGTTTTTAATATTATTATTTTTTTTTTTGCCTATAATTATATTTTGCAAGCGACTGGCGGTCGAACTGCAACCAAATTATAATTATTAAATTTAAATTTGCGACAGACGATTAAGTAATCACTTTCAGAATTTGCAACCACATCGTCATAATTGTGACCAATAAATTTTTTGCGACAAGCTTTCAGCAGGAAAACACAACGAAATTTAGCGACCGATTTGTATAAGAGTGCGACCAACTAATTTGCGACCGCTTAGTCATTCAGTCGCACAATTATTTGCGACGTGCACTTTTGCCATCGATCGAGGTTTGTCGCAAATCGGTCGCTGAATGAAAGTAGTGACTAATTTCTTACACAAATCGGTTATTTATACTTATTTAAGTTATTGTTTATTTAACGATTTTTTTGTAGTGTACTAGTCCATTTTAATTATACTTATTTAAGTTATTGTTTATTTATTTTCTTTATTATACCAGTTGTTCATGAAACTGGTTCTTGCCTAGTTCGTGTTACTGGTTTTTATTTATTTTACTGTTTATCTTCCAATTCTCTAATCCTTTAATTTAATATCCAGTCATCTGGTCTTTTATTTTATTTTCATTTTATTTTTCAATTATCTGGTATTTTAATTTACTGTTTATCTTTCCAGTTATCTTGTCCTTTATTTTATTATTTTATTTATTTTTATTATTTTATTTATCCTATTTATTGCTTTTAATCAATTTATTTCTTGTTATTATCTCTTGTTGCTTTAGTTTGCTCTTCTTCCATTTTCAGTATCTTTAATATTAATTGTTTGATCTATTCTCTGTCTCTTTCAATCTCTCCCTTCCTCCTCCTTGGTGTGCGTGTATATATATATAGTTGATGATTAAATTTTTGGCCAAAAACCAAAAAAGAGTAATTTTCTAGAAGTTGTGATTTTTATCTAAACATTCAAAAATATATAATTTGCTGCAACTTTTAAATTATTAAATTATACATTTGTTACGGTTAAAATAAATTATATTCTATAATATTTTTTTTTAAATCACTCATCACCAAATTTAATTCTAATAAAACACTTTATAAGAGAGCATTTAGTTCAGCTAACTTATAGAGTTAATAATTATTCGTATCTAATGTTTAGCTTGTAGATGTTCGGTAAGGTTTTTAACAATAATTGATAGCTAATAAAAGTCTCATTCTCTTATTAATTTCATCAACTACGTTTTAAAATTTTTTGTATCTGCGGTAACTGATTTTAATTTATATCATATTTAGACTTTATTAACCTCGTAAAAATAATTACCAATAAAATTATTTTATTCAAATTAACATTTTTATGCTTATTTTATTTATAGTCATGTAAAAATAATATTTTTATAATAAATATTATTCTAAAACTTTAATTAATATCTTTATTTATATAATCCATTAAAATAAAAAATATGATGGAATACATAAATTCACCCCTGAACTTTATCACTTTAATTTTATGGCATCCTCAGCTTTTACTTTGACTCATCAAACACTTTAACTTATAAAATTATACTTATTACACACTTCAATTTTTAAAATTATTTTATTGAACACTTTAGCTTACAAAATTACATAAATTAAACACTTATTAAAAAGTTGAAATGTATGAAAATTATTTTTCCAAAAGTCATGCTAACTATATATCAAGTCGATATTTACAAATAAAAGTCAAAAATCTTAAATATTATTGATATTAGTGTGGAAACATGCATAATATTACCAAAATTTACAAGTTCAAGTGCACGATAGGTCATTTCTAAAGTTCAGAGTGTCATAAAGTTAAAGTTAGAAAATTTATGGGTGAATTTATGTATTCAACCTAAAAGATATTCACCTAGTATATATACGCAAACACATTATACATCATAATATATAAAAATAATTATATTCAATTTTACTAAATACCATTATTTATCAGTTAACCACCAGCGGCAACTTCTATCATCTGGTACGAATAACTAAACTAAATGGGCCCCAGACCTCTTCTCTGTTGCAAAATATGATGGCATAATTTTGTTCAAATGAACACTGATAACAAATACCTAAAGTTATATTTAGTAAGCCCTAAAAGAAATGTAATATAACAAAAATCATTTTAATGTAACGCGTTTGATTATATTAGGTTATGTTCTATTACTAAAATTTAGAATAAGTTGACCAATTTTGGAATGTCTGATAATAATTGTATTAATAATTAATTAGCCATTAAACTTTTAAACAATTTTATAATTTAAAGATTTCAAAACTAATACTCTCCCCTTCCATATTAAATATATATATATATATATACTAAATGTCAGTTTTTGAAACTTTATTTTAAAAAAAGTCAGTTTGACCTTTAAATTTAAGTTAATGTCATTTATGTTATTCAATTATAATTGTGCCCATTTATTTTTTGTTAGGACGCTATAAAATATTTCATTGTTTTCTTTCTTTGGTGTTTCCTTTTTGTCGTTTCTCTCTAGTAAGGTTATTTTGATATTATTTAAACTTAAGTGTTATTATTTTAATTTATAGTATTCTTTTCCTCCATAAATATAAGTTGTTTAATATTTTAGCATGTTAATTAAGAAAATAATTAATTTTTCTAAATTAAATAAACGATCATTAATTTGATTAAATTACCTTTTATCTCACATTATTAACAAATAATTTATTAATAGTATATACTACCTCCAAATTACCTTTTATCTCATATTATTAATACTTAATTTATTTAATAGTATATACTATCTACGTTCCATAATACTTGTAACATTTATTGTTTCAAGGAGTAATAAATATTTTTTTCTATGTTTATCTTTTGTGTAGGACTAATAATTATTATTTAAATTTAATGGTTTCTTAGAGAATTAATATTAAATTAAGGGTAATATAGTCAATTTACTCAATAATTTATTGTAACTTAAATAAATTTAATGGTTTTTTTAAAAATCGTGAAATTTCAAATGTGATAAGTATTACAGAACAGATGTAGTATAAAGGTAAAATTAAAAAAGATCATTAATTTAACAGAGAGAATGCTACGTTGGGATTAAATTCAAATCTTAACTTTAAATTTTACTAAATTTATACTCATATACTGTTTGAAGTATTAAGAACATACAAACCATATTTCCAAAAAAAGAAAAGAAAGAAGCGGACAAACCTGTTTATCTTCAAGCCAAGCTCTGTAAGTTGTAGTTGTATTCAATCTCAGCTTTTTGGCCAAATCATTTACCAAAGTCCTTGTTCCAGTAAATGGAACAACTGAATCTTGATCCCCACTGCACAGTTACTTTTTAACTTGGGTTACAATGACTAAAAATTCTAGATCTTTTTTCCGGCTCAAATTTTAAAAAATTAATCAATAAAAAAAAGATAAAACTTGTCGACACACGGTAAGACAGAGCTAATGGGTAACTCATTTCAAATCGAATTGAATAGAGAGTATAAAATACAAATCAAATTTTTTTACAACAAGTTGAACCAGACTGAAATTTACATCTGAACCAAACCAACCGAATCGAACCAGTCAGTTCGGTCTATTTTTGTTAGTTTTTGCCATTTCAATTCGATTTTAAGTCCAACGATGAATTTTCTTATAACCAAACTGAACAACAAATTTGGTTCAAACCCAACAAACTAATTAACTGAACATCTCTTGGACACTGATCGAACCGAACCAAGAAGGATCAATTCGGTTCGGTCAGTAGTTTTACTCACCTCTATGCCTTGTATATTGGCCCACTTATATACCAAATCAATCAGTAAATATATTTTATTCTTTTTCCAGTGAATATTAAAAAATACTCTTGTTTGATTTTTTTTTTTTTTTTCGATTAGCTTCTTTTCGCATTAGCTTCGCGTAAGGATAGACTCGGCATAGGGAGCAAGCAAATCCTTTCCAGATAAGAGTAAAAAAAAAAAAAAATTTTTTTTTTTTTTTTTCGATTAGCTTCGCGTAAGGATAGACTCGTGCATAGGGAGCAAGCAAATCCTTTCCGATAAGAGTAAAAAAAAAAAAATCACTAACGATATATACCTGTACACCATGACCTGGATTCCTGAAGTAACCAGTGAGCCCACAACATCAATCATAGATATCTCTAGGTTTTCAATATCATATTGCAGTACCCTGTAATTTAATGGCAAATATAATTTAAACATATAAAAAATAGTTAAAAATTAGTTTAAAAAATAATAATGAAAAAAATTATTTTTCAGAAGTTCCATTGATCCTTTCAGTAATTAAAACTACAATATTTTAGATTTTTATGCTCAAAATAAAATTGGAAAGTACTTAATGTATCAATTAATTCTACGAGTGCAAAATAATTACTTACGGGCTGCAGAAAGTCCAATTTGTGACTCCTACGAGCTTAGCATGAAGAGCTTCTTGCACATCTTTCTTGTTCAAGTATTCAAGAGCTTTTTCTTCCACACAAAGATCTATATTCTCTGGAGCTTTCTATACGGATAAAAATAAAAATGTAATTGTAAAACAGCAAACAGAAATTATTGATTCATACAGAGAACTTACTGTAGGATGATTAGGTAATTGAGTGGACAATGAAACTAGAAATTCCGGTCTCAACAGATCATTGTGGAGTTTGAGTTTTGAATTCTCGTAAGAAATGCAGACATCAGCAGTTACATCGTAGCCGTTGATCGAATCAGAAATTTCTTTAGAAAGTTGAACAGTTACAGTTTTACAAGCAGGTGATAATGAGCCTATTATTATTCCCTCCCTCAATAGCTGTGATGCGTTGCAAATTGAATTGAGAAGCTGATGAGTTGAATCTGATATCAGCCCATGAGACCAGTAGTAATCACCTCGTGAGTTTGAGTCTCTACTGAAATCCAATAGAGGGTTTCCTAACTGAAAAACATGCATCAACAATCAAAACTAAGAATTTTTTTATGCAAAGAAAATCGAACAGAACGAAATTATATTTTTAGCCTCATAGTCCGAGAATGAATGTTTTCTACTTTTTTATAAAGTAAAAACAAAAATGATGAATTCCAATTGCAAGTTAGTGGAGAAAAAGTCTGTAATAAAAAATAATCTCCCCTTTGTATAAATGAATTGGACATGTAAAGTTTATTTATAAATGAATATTAGATATAATTCCTTTATAAATAAATTTTTTATATTTGAAATAAATTTAAAATTGAAAATTCATTTACTTTTATTATCTAAAAAAGTTTCGACATAATAGTTGTGAAAAAGCTAGGAGGATGTTCAGAAATTTTACCTTTTTGAAAGAATTTATTTTAGTTCTACTCAAATTAATAAAATTGAATTTATAGAATTTTTTTTTTTCAAAAAAAATATAAATAAATTGGAATTTTCATTTATTCCAAATAATGGGTTAGTTTTTAATAAGTGGTGCTTACAGCAATGCCCTTTAAATTGAATTGTAAACCTGACTGAACAACGAGCTCTGCCAGTTGTGGGACATAGTGGCCTGCAAATTAAACAAATAGATTTTTACTTTTGGTAAGTTGAATTAAAGGAACATAATATAAAGTAATTAAAGGTATCTTTAGTATAAATATTTTTTATTACATAATTCTATAATTCCTTACATTCCGGCTCACCAGACATAACCTAAGTATAATTTCCAGAAAATTGTTTTTACCAGCATAGCTCTCTCCTGCAATAAATAAATCTCTGTTTCTGTATTCTGGAAATTTGATGAACCACTTCTGCATGAATATGAAGTTGTCTTGTGCTAAAGGGAAAACAAATAAATAAAAATGAAAATTAATAATAATGTATTATATCATAATTATTTATAGTAGGAAATCATATTCAAACCTGTGATGGTATCGTTTACAGAATCATAGAAAGATGCATTAGCAGAATAAGAGAAGCCAACTCCTACTGGTGATTCCAGATATATTATATTTGCTTCTGCATACATAACAGAAGAAAGGTTAACTTTAGCTCTTCTTCTTAAAATTGTTTTCTACTTGATATACATGCAGGGGTGAGCAAACGGTAGGTTAGGTTCAAACTGAACCGAACTAAAAACATAAAATATAAACCGAACTTTTTTTACAAGAGGCAGAATCTGAACCGGATCGACTCAACCTGAGCAGTTAATTTGGTCGATTTTGATCGGTTTTTACTATTACAATTTGGTTTTAAGTCCAACCAATAAACTTATACCAAAATAACTAGAACTAAACATTAAATTTAATTCAAACCGAGTAAACCGATTAACCAAACCTCCTTTGAACACCTGATCAAACGGAACCAAAAAAGGTCCGTTCGTTTCGATTCGGTTTAATCGGTAACTTTGCACACTCCTATATACATGTATAGCCAAAAATAGAAAAAAAAATATAATTGCTCTCTATTTGATTTTTTCTATATAACTAAACTTAAAATATCATTCCTAAGTAATCAGAATTACATTAATTAATTCTCAAAAAAAAAAAAAAATTTACAATAGTTAGACTTGGATCGACACCCCAATTGGACCTAATTAATATTAATAATATAATAAATAAATAATTTTATTTGATTATGTTAAATTTCAATAAATTCAACTTATGAGAATAAAATGAATACTTTAAGATATTACAATAGAAAAGATTGAAAATTTTAAATGAATTAAATGCATTTGTGTAAAATTTTTCGTTAGAGAACAAAAATTAACTATTTTTACCCATTAATTTTCTTTTTTTCAATTTCTCTATACTTTTACATTTATATATTTCTTATTTTTTCACTATTTGTTATTAAATTTTGTGGAAAGTTATATATCATAAGAAATTCTCGAGACTTTTATTTTAAAGCAGGAATATAAGACAATAAAAAAAAGGTAAGTCTTATCCTAAAGTACAAGGGACAAAAGAAAAGAAAAAGAAAGAGTATAAAAGTTCAGCTTTAAAATGAAAAAAAAAAAAAAAAAAAAAAAAAAAAAAAAAAAAAAAAAAGTTGCGAAAGTTATATATTCATAAGAAATTCTCGGAGCAGACTTTTATTTTAAAGCAGGAATATAAAGGACAATAAAAAAAAGGTAAAGTCTTATCCTTAAGTACCCAAGGGACAAAAAGAAAAGAAAAGAAAGGAGTATAAAAGTTCGCTTTAAAATGAAAAAAAAAAAAAAAAAAAAAAAAAAAAAAAAAAAAAAAAAAAAAAAAAAAAAAAAAAAAAAAAAAAAAAAAAAAAAAAAAAAGGAAAGACTACATGTGCAGAAAATGGAAAAATATTAAATGAATACACCTTTATTCCAACTATATTCGTTTCTGACCAAATTGCCCTTTCCACTTGGCCTGAAAGGACCATGCTCAGAGAAAGCTCCAGCTCCAAGAGAAGAGCAACCAGGCCCTGCAGATGGAATACATTAATCGAATACCAAATTAATACATAAACAAATACCAAATTAATAACTACTTAAAATGGTTTTACCTCCATTTAACCAGAGAACCAGAGGCTTCGAAGCTGTGTCTCTTTCTGCTTCAACAAAGTAATAGAATAGAGCTCTCTGTTGTCTTTCATTAATGGTAACGTAGCCTGCGTATTGCTTGAAACTGACCTTTGGTTGCCCTGGCAAACTTAATATTTTGTCTTCTTCCTTTGAGGATGATCCTACTGCTCTGAATATTTGCATCAACAGAACACAAATTACAGCCATAGCAGTTATCCATGACTGAGATTGCATTATAAGAGGAAGTAATTAACACAGAGAGAGATAGAGAGAGAGAGAGTGAGGAAGCGGAAGTAGAGCTTTATGCTTTTGTGAGCTAAGTTGTAGGGTCTGTGAGTACAGAAATTAAGGACATTATGTATATACAAAGAAACGGTTGACGTAGAAAGGGGCGGACCTAGACTTCAGACTTTTGGGAAGTTCAAAATAAATTTTTCAAAATTAGTAGACTGAAAAAAAAAAAAATTATACTAATTTATAAGACAAATTTAAAAAAAAATTCTGGAGTTTGGAGGCCGGCCTCCCCCAGTCCCCCCTTCCTCCGCCCCTGGTCATAGAGATTCGCGTGGACATAATTGACCAGCTAATAAGATATTGATGTTCTCGGATTATTTGGAAAATAAATATATATGAAAAGAATAAAGGGGAAAAAGACAAATCTATCCTATCCTTGATTAAGCTGGTTTCGAGAAAAAAAATACCCATTACTTATATAGACGTGGACACCCCTCTGTTTTATTTTAATAGTAATATTTACTCTTATTATAGTGATTTTTAAAAGTGATTGAAATTCATTGATCTTTTAAAAATACATGATAAAATATTTAAATTGTTCTTCTTAAATATAAATATAAAAATAAAAATTATTCTTCTAATATAAATATAAAAATAAATTACACCTCATAAATATGGGTAAAATAAAAAAATTAATATACTGAAAATTCTAAATGAGTACTTAAAGTGGAATAAGGTAAAATACATATTTGTTGCTATTAAATTGAAACATAGTGAGTATAATACTCTCTTACTCCCAAAAAAAAAAAAAAAATAATACTCTCTTAACTCCCAAAAAAAAAAAAAAAAAAGGGGTCTCAACTTGAGGTAGTCAACCTTATTCCAAAAAAAAAAAAAAAAAGAGTCTCAACTTGAGTTAGTTCAACCATAAAATTTATCATTCTTTTTTCATATATACCCCTATATTAATATTTTTTTTGATAATTTAAATTTTAAAATTATTTATAGAGTTTTTCAATAAAAAATTAATATCTTGGCACATATTTTAATTACTTTATATTATGTACATTATGTTGTGAGAGAAAATACAAACAATGTAATATGAAATGTTCCTTTTCATTTTTATTAAAACATAAGTAAGGAATAGGAGCATTAAATATGATGATGGTTAGGATAAAGAAGTTGTAGTATAATTACTTATAGTTATACTATTTGACTAAATGTTTAGTAATTCTATGGTATTTTAGGAAAGTTAATAAAAAGACCATTTTCAAAAATGAAAGTCAGACTATTATTTTTGGACATTCATTATGAAAAATAAGACTTTTTTTTTTTTTTTGAAACAGAGGAAGTATATATTTACCAATCAAGTTACGGTTCTATGCTTGCGAATCTGTAGTTTAGGTTTTATTTAACATTTTTTAATTAGTTTATTTATTTAAGAAAAGTAATTCAATTTTATAAATTTAAATCCAAATAAAAATATTATTAGTGAAATTAGGAGAGATAGGACTTCATTCCATAATGTCAATACATAATAGGCATAAGTTGCTAATAAATGTGCAACACTAGTTATTTAAAAACAAAACTTTGATCAAGTTCTTGAATAAGTAAAATACAGTCTCAAACAATGATCGAAATAATAACGATCATTTCGCTTGCTTGGACAGCCTAAACTAATATAAAAAAAGTCTAGTTCACACAAAACTTGGGGCTTTTTATGAAAATGGAGTTTATATATAAAAAAATACATATAAATGATGTTCCAAAAAACATTTATCGAATTTGGTGTTTTATTGACATTGTAAAGCATTTGTTAAACTTTGAATGTAAAAATTGTATTGTTATACTATAATTGTAACAAATGTTGTGGATCCCTCTCACACGTGGGACAAGTTTGAAAGAAAAAAAAGGAAACAAACCACGTTTTTTTTAAATGGTCAAATAAGGCTGCAGATAAGGAAAAAAAAGGAAGAAAATGTTGAAATTTTAGACGCGTTAATAGCGCATCCATTCGGTAGACACGTTAATAATGTGTCCCCTTCTCCTATAAATAGGAGAAGGTTTTTCCTAAACAAACACACAAAAACAAAGAATAGGAATACATAATTAAGTGTAGAGAATTTTAGGAAAATGTTCCTAAAATTGGGAAAGAGAGAAAATAGTGAGGATTATAATTTTTTTTGGATGTTTTTGGAAATCACTTAAAGTACCACTATTTTTGTAATCTCTTTTGTACCTACTGTACCCCTACATTTTAGTGACAAGAATTATTCATAGGTTTTGTCCCGTGGATTTGAGCCCATAACAGTTGAAGGATAACCACATAAATCTAGTGTCCTTATTTTTCATTCTGCATTTACGGGTAATTTAAAATTTAATTTTACCGTGTTACTTATTTCTGGGAATTTCGATCGTTAATATCCAATACTAATTATTGGAGCCCCCACTCGGGATCAGTTAGAATTCCAACAACTAGTAATCAGGAGGCCTTTGGTTGAAAAATTCGTCAAATGTTCTACGAAAGTTACTATTCACGTGAATAAGTGGAATTTCGTTGAATTGTAAAATTTTTTCAGTTTCAGAATTCGTCGACGGGTCAATGATCAAGATTGACGGATTCGATTATTCAAGGTGGAAAAATCCAGAATGGAGGACTACCCTTAATTGCAAAGATCTGTGTACGATCCAATTGAAGTGACAGTGGCAAAGCCAGAAGAAAAGAAAGAAAGGCAGTGGGAGAAATTAAAACGAGACATTGGTACAATACCGCCAATAGATAAGTGCTAGCCTGTACAAGCCACGTGAGAAATGAAAAAGATCCCCAATTCTCTAGGGAAAAGATTTAGAAGAAATTAGAGAATATGTACGAGGCTACAAATGCTCAAGGTAAAGTGTTCATGATTCGTAAAGTCATGAACTTAAAGCTGTCAGAGGGAAGATTAATTACACAACACCTGAATGATTTTGAAGGACTCGTAACTGAGTTAGCAGTTAGCAGTATGTCCTTAGATGACGAGATGCAAGCATGCCTACTATTGGGATCTTTACCGAATAGTTGGGATACTCTTGTGGTATAATTAAGTAACTCAGCTCCAAATGGTGTGGTAACAATGTCTATGGTAAAGAATAGACAATGTCTATGGTAAAGAATAGACTACTCAATGAAGAACTACGAAGAAGAGATGTTGCCAGTACCAGTTCACAAGCCCTTGTCATAGAGAATAGGGGCCAGACCAAGAGTAGAGGTCGAGGGCATGTAAAGTCAGGTGGTAGATCCAAGTCCAGAGAGATGAGAAAATGTTACAATTGCGGTAAGGAGGGTCATCTCAAAAGAAATTGTCATTTACTCAAACAGGATCATGCAAACCGAAGACAGGAGAATGACAGAAATACATCTACTATAGTCTCAACAGAAGATGGTGAGGTGACTTTAGTCACTCATGATGCAGATTGCTGTTATGTTGGAGATGCAGATACGGAGTGGATAGTAGACTCTAGTGCTTCATACCACTGTATTCCAAAAAGGGAATACTTTTTCACTTATAAAGCAGGAGATTTTGGCACTATTAGAATGAGAAATAATAGTGTCTTGCAAATGGTGGGAATCGATGATGTCTGCATAAAAGTGTCGGGTGCACATTAATACTTAAAAATATGAGACATATTTTCGATCTTCGGTTAAACCTGTTGTCTGTCAATGTACTGGACAAGGAAGGCTATTAACACCATACAGGTGACGGTAATTGGAAACTCACCAAAGGGTCTTTGGTGGTGGTGAGAGGACAATTATGTTGCTTGCTGTATAAGATGCACGCAACAATATGTGCGGGTCAACTGAATGTGAAGATGATGCTTCACCAAATTTTTGGCATAGGCAAGCTGGCGCACGTAAGTGGAAAGGTTTGAATATTGTTGGTTAAAAGTCCCTTATCCCATTAGGCCAAACGGTAAAAATAAAACACTTGTTATCACTGTTTATTTTGGGAAGGAACATCGTGTGCTCATTTTTTGAAAACTCTAGATGCGGAAAAGCTCTAGATGGAGAGACAACAAGTTGGAGTTAGTACACTCTGACGTATGTGGTCCCATAGAGGTAGAATCACTTGGAGGAAGTAGATATTTTCTAACTTTCATTGATGATTTCTCAAGAAAAATATGGATATATTTGTTGCGCACAAAGGACCAAGTATTCAAGCAGTTTTAGCAATTCCATGCGATGGTGGAAAGGGGACTGGAGCGGCATTAAAGTGTTTACGCACGAATAATGATGGTGAATACATCTCTAAGGAGTTTAGAGATTATTATAGTCAGCATGGTATCAGGCATGAAAAGACAGTTCCTGGTACGCCTCAACACAATGGCGTTAACGATGAAATCGCACCATTGGTGAAGGAGTCAGATCCATGCTCAAAATGGCCCAACTTACCTAAGCCATTTTGGGGAGAAGCTGTAGCTCAACTGCTGTCTAGCCTTAATTCAACCGCACTACCTTCAGCACCTTTGGACTTTGATATCCCAAGAAGGTCTAGACAGGTAGAAAATATTATCATACTTCTCACCTGAGGATTGGCTACAAGCATTTATGCATGTCCGAAGGAGCACGACAGAGATCAAAGCTTGATGACAAGTCAGTTCCTTGCACTTTTGTCGGTTATGGAGACGAAGAGTTTGGCTACAGGTTGTGGGACCCAGTGAAAAAAAATTTGTCCGGAGCCGAGACATAGTATTCCACGAGAATGAGATCATGGCAGATACAACTTGTGAAGAATCCACAAGTGATGGTGTTGTTGATATTACAGCTGGAAGCATTCCTACAGATGATGTCACAAGAGGAGGAATGCCAGAATCAGAACGGGAAGAAGAAGAAGAGCCAGTCATGGGGGATCAAGAGACGATTGTAGATGATAACAGTCCAAAAATCCCACTTTCATTGCTTCAAAACATATGAAAATGGAGCTAAAGACAAGTGGCTCATCCACATTGTTCCTTGGCATTGATTCAAATTTGATTAAAGTTCCAGGGTTTGACATTTGAACTTGTGCAATGTATTCATGCAACTTATTGTAGCTCTCAACGTGTGAACCTGCAAGTTGCTCTCTAGCAGCTATCCTTGCCCTATGAAGCTGCCAATATTCAGTCTCAATGCCCCATTTTGCCTTTAACTCAGCTTGCATTAAAGCATAGCTCATTCCTGGATCAGCAGCCAATTGAGATTCCAGTTTCTTCTTCACCCACTGTCATGGCCAGCACACCTTAGGCAAATCCCACATCGCTTAAGTACGAGGGGGTGGTCCTGTACAT